GTGTCTTTGCATTGTTCATACCCTGAAAAGCCAGGACGCAAGCATTCGAAGAGGTGGGATGAAGGGAGGTTGGGGCGGAGAAGACTGGTTGTCCACACTAATCCCAAGATTGTCCCGAATCTGTAAGCACACATTTCCCTTCATTGAATAACACATCATATCTAATGTTTGGTTCAAACTCTCTGCTTTGGGATAAACAGAATACAATCTCTGATTTAAAATGTCATATTTATTTATAGAAATTTTACCTGTTTTTAACATAAAGAGGATTTAAAAGCATCACTTTGATGTACACATAACATATGGAATTACTGGTTTATCATCAGCTGATTATGTCTTTATTGTACCTTGGCCAGCTTGTGCCACAGCTCATAGAGATAGGAGAAGACCTTGGCGTGGATTTTGGGGCAGCGGATATTGTTGACATCTCCCAGGATACCCAAAATTCTCCGCCACAGGACGAAGGCTGAATCAGCATGCCAGCCAGTCAGAGTCCCACCAGCAATGATGCTGACATCATCAGCCAGAAACTCGCTGCTATCTGCATGGTCACATAGAAAGAGTAATGGGTGATGGGGGTTACAGAAATTATTATTTGCCAACACTTTGCCAAGAAAGACTTCATTTTATTTAGCTGAACGGATTCAGTCAACAAATGCAGATCAACTTTATACAATTATAGTAAAATGATTTGATTTGACTCTCAAAGCTAATGCGTCGTTAGAGCAGCTGTTGACCAAATCCTTAAGTTATCTGGTGCATTTTCCCCAAAGGCATTATGCAAGTGAATAAAACACTCAAATACTTTTGGGAAACAGGCAGAAACCACATGCATCATCCAAGTGAATTGTGGCAGGACAGTGCCACCTAGTGGGCAGCAGGAGAGCAATGAGAACCTGAGGGAGTAAAGGCTTGGAAAGACAGATGATAGTGTAGCTGGTGTGAGGTGATTCGAATGACTTCTGAAGGTTTTTTCTGTTTCACTGTTTTTAAATTTAGTTGCAGAAAAAAAAGACAAAAGATTGCTCATTTGTTTACAAGAAGAAACAAAAGAACAATTATTTTGTATTATGTGTGCAGAATAATGACAAAGCAACTACTTTAAGTACGAGTAGCATCAAACCAAACAAACAATAAGAAAATAGAGAAATCAACAAGGAGAATTTAAGACAAAGAAGTGAAATGCAGATGAAGACTGTGGTCTACATGATGAGTAGCAGCTAGGGAGCAGTACCCAAGTGGTGTGGCATGTGTAAGACAGACTGATGCATGGTGTCGTCCAGGGGGCAATCCCGTGGGCACTCTGTGTGCACCAGCAGGGCTGGTGAAGCGGGGGGATTCTGGGGGTAGTGGTAGTGGTTTTGGTGGTTGTGGTGGTAGGACGGGGATGCGGAGTGGGTAGGGAGAGCACACTCAGGACCTAAAAACAACAAGTGGACATGGATCAAACTGGGTTTGAGGAACAGAGCAGAGGGGCAGTGATCACAATGTGGGAAACACAGACGTTCACGTACAAGGGTGGGAAGGGCAGACAGGGGGGCGACAATATCTGCATACACGAGGGGGGAGGGAATAAATAAAAAGCCTCGAAGCTGAAGGGATGTTTTGGTAATCCCACCCCCCCCTCACAGAAATTGACAGATGACAAATTAAAGGAAAAACAAACAAACAAACCAGCTAATTCAAGCCCCGCCTCCATTTTTCCTGGATAATGAAACATCTCTATCCTGATGGGAGTAGTCTCCTTATGTCCTTATGTGAATCACATCCTATCCACAGTCACCACTTCACTTCCTATCTGATTACACATGAGACAGTACCTATGAGGTTTTGCACCTGTGTGTTGCACAGCATCAGAAAACCAAATATGGGAATATTTCCTGGAAAAAATGTGTTCTATCCCTCCAAGGGGCAAAAACTAAAATGATGCTGTGGTGGTTCTTCTCCATACTACAACAGCGCATCTTTAATTTGTCAAACATCTGTAGATACCTCAAACAAACCAGAGACCACAGGTTACTTTTCCTTTCATAACATTTCCACTTTTCAAACTCTGAGCAGATTTAAAATCTTAAATTGCTTGGGAGAAGTCATCTAGCCAATATTAGGTTTTTTAACCTTCCTAAGATTGATCAATCAATCAAGATCAACTGCACAACTGCTGAAGTCTCTCAAATAATTGAATTACTGTGATGAATGGTCACAAAGGGCTTCCTTTATAATAATGAGGACATTAGCTCTGTTGCTAACTATTATATGTATCAAACCAGCTGCAGGCTGCAGACAGACATAAATCAAGTACTCTGAGTGGATTTGTTAGCTCAAACAAACTGGAACAAGCACAGCTAAACAGAGACATTTAATAGAGACACTTGGATGGAGATTTAGGGGCTTGCTGTGAGTTTCTACCTGCTAAAGCTTCGTTATGGCTGAGCAGCAGACTCCCCTGGCTCTGAGGATCAACTGTTACGTCCATGTGTGCCGACTGCGTGGACTGATTATCAGCTTCCTCGTCAAACGCCTGCCAGGTAACTTCAGCCTCATTGAGGTAGCCATTGGACGTCTCGCTACTAACACTCTCACCTGGGTAAGGTGAAAAGATTAAATTCATGAAAGAAAAAAAGCAAAGGAAGCTTCGAATGGAGCCTACTAGCTCTGTAAGGACAACTGTAATATCTAATGCAACAATTACATATTTACATGCTATAGTCTTAGAGTATGCTGATGAAAATTCACATTTTTAAAAAGCAATTTATGTTTAACATTAAAACAGAACAGTGATTATAACGTCTAACTTTTCTCTCTGAGCTTGGGCCTCGTGTAGTTTGCGTGTCCCTCAGTATTGCACTCTGTTTCAGCTGAGCTGCTGGTCCGTCGGATCAGGATCTACAACAAAGACAAACATTTAAACAGATGAACCAAGCGTTGATCAATCTTATTTTAAGCTAACACGATGGTTGAAGATGAATGTTCTCACCACAGGCGGTTCACTGCTCTCAGTCCTGCCCTCAGACATCCTGCTATCAGAACCACAGGAAGTAGGCGAGTACTCTCTCTGCTGGACTGAAAGGCAACAAACAGTTCTGATTTGGTCTCTACCAAAAACTGGAACATCATAGCCTTTTCTTTTATCATAGCCTTTTCTTTTTCTTTAGGTCACGAGCAGTTGTCCAAGCATTTCACTACATATCATACTGTGTATGACTGTGTATGTGACAAATAAAAATTTGAATTTGAATTTGAATTTTGAATTTGAATGTTCAGTTAATCCCTGTAGCCCTGATCTTAATTCTAAAAAATAAATAAATGAATATGTTTAAAGCAGGTCGTCTGACCAATCAGAGCACACAGGCATACGTCAGGAAGGTGACCAAGAACCCGATTATCACTCTGATCGAGCGCCAGAGCTCCAGAGAGAGGAGAACCTTCTAAAAGAACCATTTCTGCAGCACTTCAGGCCTGAATGGTCGAGTAGCCAGATGGAAGATGCTTCTCAGGTAAAAAGCACATGACAGCCCACCTGGAGTTTGCCAAAAGGTCTCTCATCTGATTAGAGCACTTCGCTCTCACACAGGCTTGCTTGTCGTTCCTACAGTATTTAAAAGTAGAATGGGAGGCAGAGCCTTCAGTTTTCAGGCCCCTCTTCTGTGGAACCAGCTTCCAGTTTGGATTCAGGAGACAGACACTATCTCTACTTTTAAGATTAGGCTTCAAACTTTCCTTTTTGACAAAGCACATAATTAGGGCTGGATCAGGGGACCCTGAATCCTCCCTTAGTTATGCTGCAATAGGTGTAGGCTGCCGGGGGATTCCCATGATGCATTGAGTGTTTCTTCTTCAGTCACTTTTTTCACTCACTATGTGTTTGTACACCTCTCTGCACTTATCTGTTAGTACTAATCTCTGGTTCTCTTCCACAGCATGTCTTTGTCCTGTTATCCTCCCCTCACCCCCAACTGGTCGCAGCAGACTGTCCTCTGTCCTCCCCACTGTCGCCAAAACGCTTGCTCATAGAGGACATGCGATTTTTTTCCCCTTGTTATTATTGTAGGGTCTTTACCTTACAATATAAAGCACCTTACAGTAACCATTGTTGCTGGGACACCGTCCCTACAGTAAAGCATGGTGGTGGCAGCATCAAGTTGTTGGGATGCATTTCAGCTGCAGGAACTGGGGGATTAGTCAGGATCGAGGGAAAGATAAATGCAGCAATCTACAGACACATGCTTGATGATAACTTGCTCCTGAGTGCTCTGAACCTCAGACTGGACTGAAGGTTCATCTTCCAACAGGACAAGAAACTTAAGCACACAGCCATGATAACAAAGGAGTGGCTTTGAGACTCTCTGAATGCCCCGAGTGCCTCAGCCAGAGTCCAGACTCGAACCTGACCGAACAACTATGGAGAGTCCTGAAAATGCTCCTGATTCAGACCAAGCTTGACCGTTTCTGCAAAGGATGTGAGAAACTGTCCGTCCCCCCACAAAAAAATAGGTGCGCCAACCTTGAAGCATCATACTCAAAAAGACTTGAGGCTGCAATTGCTGCCAAATTATTAAGCAAGAGCTGTGAATACTTTCATTTTTTAAAGAAATTTGCCAGAATTTCAAGCAACTTTTTCACTTGACTATTGTGTGCAGAATTTTATTGTGATAAATGAATTGAATCTATTTGGAACAGGGCGTTAATGTGGCAGCTTTATTCCAGCCGCAGAATGCTGTGAATACTCTCTGGATGTACTGCATCTCTGGAATAATTAGCAGACACCTGTTTCTGTGCAATGCAGCTTCTAAACCAAGCTGACTAGCACTGGCTCATAAATCCACCGTCTCATCACTTCAACAATGATAACATCAAAGATCTCTGACATACAGTTTAAGGTCTGTTTAACTATTCATGCTTAAAAATCAAACACATCAGGCTTCGCTGCTAAAATGAAAAATTCCAGTTGACTGTAATGTGAATAATAAAAAGTGTTCACACTATATAAGTCCACTCTCACATCATCTAGTTGAAAAGAAAAAGAATGAATATTACCCTTCTTTAATTTGCTTACTGAGTTGTTTTCTCTAAATGGTTGTTTTTGTACATGTATGTGCAAATATATGATGTTCAAACTCATTTGCAAACTTGAGCTGCACGATCGTATCAGTCGTTTCTGCTCCAAGCTTATCAAGTGCAAAGAAGTCAGTTTTTTTTATCCTTTTTATCACGAGGTTAAAATTTTAACTATGAAAAACAAGCTGTTATTTGCTTTTTTTGTATTGCTTTGAAAAACCGAATAAGATTAATATCTTAATACTGCACTGGATAGTGGTGTAATAAACAGACAACTGAAGTGACAGATTACTTCTCTTTTATAAAGACACTTCAGGGTTAATTTGTATCACAGCTGAACACACAAACTGAATAAAAGAGGAGTAATTCCACTAAAAAAAATAGTTGAATAGTCCTAAAAAAGGAAATTATCCAGTGAGCAATAGTTCTCAGTAAGTGCTTTAAGTGGATAGGAAGGCAACAATAACTCAAATAACCTCTAATTACATCCAAGGTGTGCAGAAGAGCATCTCTGAATGCAATAACTGAAACTTTGAAGGAGATGAGCTACAGCGGCAGGAAACTGAGGCTACACCTTGAACAGTCTCAGCAAGATTGGACAACAGATGATTGGAAAAACATCTGGTACTTGTAGGGTGTACCTAATACAGTATTCAGTGAGTGTATGCATAAGATTAAAACGTGCTTTGTGCTTGTATATACCTGGTAAGGTCTCAGACAGCTGTTGGGTGATGTCTGAGGTGCTGCTGCTACGCGGCAGAGGACTGTCTCTGCCTCCCAGCTCCTCCTCTCCCCCACACTCTGACAGCTGACACTCCTCCACATCTGACAGTCGGGAAGACAAAGACATGGTCAGGCAGAGGTGCAATACGGATCAAATATCATGGAAACACACTGGAATGTGACTTGCAGACACTGTACAGACAAAAATTTCACGCATATGAAACATGGTGAGGAAAAACAGGGCATGCAAACATGCAACGGTGATACGTACACTTGTTAAGGACAGTACAAGGCACCGGGGCAATCTTGAGAAATGCATTAGTCAGATCATCCAACAACATGGATTAAATAAAACGTTCAGGGTGCTTTATGAGAGACTGTGACTGAATATGAATGGGAAAGGCTGGGCGAAGGTCACGCAACATGCAAATACATGCAGCTCTCACAATACTTTACCTGAGAGTCTGTGAGAGCAAGCAGAGTTACCAGAAGAGATACCAGGCAAGAAAGAGCTCACAGTGTGGAGCAGCATAGGAACACTTTTAGTAGTGGGCAAAGCCTCGTATAGATGAACACAGTTGCTGATGGACTGGCTTCGCTTAGCTTCCATCAGGGAAGGAGAAAGAAGAGGAAACAGAAGAGAGACAGCGGGAAGAGAAAAAAGGTAAAGGAAAGAAGCAAATATTCAATGATAGTAAAGTACAAAATGCTGCAAAGAAGCTTCTGCTAATAAATTCAATTCTGATTGTGAAAATGGAGCAATTGAAGACCAGCAGAGTTTGATCCAAATATAGTCGCACATGAGTCACAGGTTAAAATAAAATGGCTTTAAGAGAGAAAATATTTTAAAACCAGTCAAAAAAATAAATAAAAATAAAGGGACACTGTCACAAAACTGAGATTTAAAGCTTTTATACAGAAAAAATATAGAAAATCATAACACAAATCAGCACAGCAATACCACAAAATCTACCAAATATAAATCATGAGGGAAAGAAATCCAAACGCCTGGAAGACAATAAAATAAAAACGGGTAATACACAGGGTTTTAATAGTTTTGCAATTTTTATTAGTTTTTATTTTTATTTAGTTTTGACTTCAGATTTTCAATTTTATATCAGTTTTAATTAGTTTTTACCAATTGTTTGCTAGTTTAGTTTAGTTTTTATTTTTTTGAAAATCCTTAGTTTCAGTTTAGTTTTGA